AGAGAGAGAGAGAGAGAGAGAGAGAGAGAGAGAGAGAGAGAGAGAGAGAGAGAGAGAGAGAGAGAGAGAGAGAGAGAGAGGACGGAGAGAGAGAGAGAGGACCGGTTTAAAGGAATTTGGTCGTACTTCAGCATAGAGGCCCGGTCTGCAGCGCCAGTCAAGCTCAAAGGGTCCTGACGGCATTCTTCCTGGACGGATGAAGGCCATCATTTTCAGTGAAGTCTCTCCTTCACACAAACGGAAAAGGGGAAGCCGAGCCACCCCATACATTTCTGGTGGTGATCCCATAACAGTAACCCCTTGAAAGGGAGCTTGCTTAACCTCCAACTCAGCAGTCTGATCTCCATTGCCTCCATCTCCCATTTCTGGTTGTGGCGACTCGTTGACACTGGAACCCCCTTTCTCAGACCCCTTGGCTTGATCTTTCCTGGGGGTTTTCACCCTTGTCTCCTTTGCCTGAGCCTTGGCCTCACTCTGACCCTTGTTGGAAGACTTCTGACGCCCTTTTTTGGCAGCAGGGGTTTGTGTACCTTTGGCAGGAGTTGTAGGTCTACTTTTACCTTTCGAAGGAGTTGTAGGTCTACTCTTCTTCTCAGGCGTGACCTCCGTCCCTTCTTGTTTTTGGTCCTGCGAGCACCAGCCCAATGAGGGGTTATTGAGATAAATCACAATGTCACTGGTTGATGTTCACGGACGGGCATGCAAGCTTTAGGAGAGCATACATTGTGTAGTAAGCTGGGCTACCAGAGTGGCCCGGGACCACTTGCCCGACCAGGCCAAAACAAATCAAAGAAAAAATAATTTGGTAAAGCATTTCGATAGGACGCTGAGGCAAAAGTTGTTCAGTTTATTTTTTGCATAACGTAAGCTCTTTTCAGAATTTCTGGATTTGTTTTTTCTTTTCTTTTTTGTTTTGCTGGGACCTTTTAGGGTCCTTGCATGGCCGGGCAGGTCAGGCAAACAAGGTCACCGGGGCGGCCCGGCTGCTAGCCTAGGTAGTAAGCGTGCATACTCACACTGGGACTTCCCCCAGCTGTATCTGACAACAAGGACAGCTGGACCTGGAAGTATGTGAGCAAAGTTATCCTCAGAAATCAGTGGAAAAAGTCGTGTGAGTATGCCGTCAATACAAACTGCAAAATTGCAAATCTCAGTTCATTACTATTGACTGATTCAATACATCTATAATGAGAAGTGAAGGCGGAGAATTCCAGATTCTTGAACACCAGGGAAAATCAGCAATGTATCGCCATGCTGCTTTGCAAAACTGAAGGACAAGGAGATCAGGGGGAGGTAGACGAAGAGTAGGAGCTAAGGGGTAGGAGGACAAGGTGGAGTCTGACGTAAAGGAACATGAGGAAAAGGAGGACGAGGAGGATGAGCAGGAGAAGAATACAAGAGTCGCAGGAAAGGGGGGGAGGAGGAGGAGGAGGAGGAGGAGGAGGAGGAGGACTTGAGGAGCAGGAGCAGGAGGAGGAGGAGAGGAAACAGAAAGTGCAGAGAGGAGGCAGATGAGGGGCAAGACTGAGAAGAGTGGTACACCGTACACATGCCTTCATCAAACGAGCATGACTAGGACCAAAACAATTTCACTTGGCCATGCATATGACCATGACCAGAGGAGAAAGGTACACCGTACACACATGCAACACTTAGTAAAC